TTCCCCCACCCGTGGCAATTTCTGAGAAGGGCAAATGGTGGGCGGGGGGGCGGGGAGCACTTTATAAAAAGTAAGTCCCCTGAGTTGGGTGAAGGATGTCTGTTGATTTTCACTTTCTTTGGATATTAGTCCTTCTGGTTGAGGTTGAATTGTTGACCTTTCTGGCCTGGGCTAGAGAATCTGGATGGTTGAAATTCCCAGATAATCCAGCGCTCTTAGCCAGTAGCTGACTCAAGGCAACTTCTTGGTCCCTGAATATCCAAGTTCAGCTAAAACAGAAACGAAGGCCTCCTGTGAGATACCTACACAGCTGCCCTCCTTTACCATTTGGGGAAACTGAGGTCCAAAGTGCTTTGATAACTTATCCACAGAGCCCCAGAAAGCACCCTACTCAACCCTGACTGAAGTACTTTCGCTGCTAGAAATTGTTCAACTATAGTTTGAATGAAATATTTAAAAAGTCGTTGGCTGTGTTTTTGAGCCTCTGCTATCTAATGCATTGTATTTGGTACTTTATGTGCATTGGTTTTGTTCTTTACAATAGGTTTAAGAGGTAGGCATCTCAATAGCGTCATTTTTCAGTTGAGCAAACTGAAAGAACTTGCTGATTTCCCTCAGGTGGGCAGAGCTGTTTGCAGTGCAGAGCTGGCGGACTCTCACGGTTGGTGGGCAGTGAGGGGGCTCCCTATCTTCACCATTCCTTCCTCAGTCCGCTCCATACACAACGGCAGGATGGACCCAGAGTCAGCTGCCCCCAGGAAAACTGCTTGGAGGAGATCTTAGGAGCTGTGGCTGATGGAGGCCATGCCTTTGGAGCTACCTCATAAATTCACACACTCCTTCCCTCAACTCAGCTTTCTCTACGTTGGCTGAGTTGGTCCCAGGAGGTTGGGCCATGCAAGGCTCAGGCTGTAGCTGTTTCGTTGTCTCCAAGAAGGGTCCCTGAGGCAGGTTCGTGGCTGGGCTCCTGCCTGTGTTTTGAGAGCTGGGGGAAGGGACGAGCTCTGTCCTATGTCCTAGTAGCCAGCATTCCACTGGTCCCAGAATGTATTGAAGCTGGCCCTGGGGGCAGGGATGGCCACAGCCCACATCCTGCCACGGTGGCTGCTGCACGCCGCCCTCGCCTGGGGCCGCAAACTGGCCCTAGAGCACAGGTGACAAACACCAGGCCTGCGGGTGGAATCCCACCCTCCACCCTGTTTTCTGGGCCAGGCACGGCTGAACTCCTTGCTCCCTAGTTAAGGAGTGGTTACATGTACACAGTCCTAAAGTTACATTCTGCCCTTTGAAGGCAACCTCGAGGCTGATGCGGCCCCCAGTGAAAATGAGTTTGATGACCCTGCTTAATGCATCAGGTCCACCTGACGCTTGGACAGCACCCAGGTTGAGACTCCAAAGGGCTGCAGGGCGCTGTGTTTGGCAGCACCGCTTTCTTGGCAGGAAGTGTGATGGGAGGCAGTCCCAAGCTGGGGGACCTCAAAGTCTCCCCCTTCTTATTCCCTTTGCCTTCTGCCACACTTGGCTCTCCTGGCCAGTGAACTCTGTGGCCTCAAGTAAAGGCGGCATAGCCCGTTGGGGAAGGGCAGCGCTGGGACCGGGAGGGGTAGCGAGGGAAGGAGACAAGGGGCCTGGGCCAACAGTGGCTCAGTGGGGTTGGCTGGGCTAGGGGCTACCAGGTACATGTCATCACTACCCCTTACTATGCTATTATCTTGGGGGAAAGCCCACAGAGATGCTGTGAATTGCTCTGGGGTGTGTACATGGTTCTGGGCAGAGCTAGGCAGGGAGGTGGGACAGGCACCCATTTCCTGGGTGGTTCTGACCAGCCAAGATGACCCGGCACCTCGTTAGGAAGAAAGCCTGAAGCTACAGGGAGAGAATTGCAGTCCCAGGACACAACTTCGGCCTCATTCACCCACTGCCCCCACACAATCAGAGGCTGATCTAAACCGCCCTCGGGAGAGGACTTTGTATAAATGCACACACGTGTCTTCAAAATCCCCTCACACCTGGCTCCTCCTCGGTGTGGGCCAAGACAGCTGGTCCCTCAGGCTCCCCACAGGAAGTGGCGCTTCCAAACGAGCGAGCGGCCTTGTACGCACGGCCTGCTACTTCCCAAGTAACTGGGACCTGCCCAGGAAGGCGGTAATAACAACAGGAAGGCCAATCTTTCTCATTTGCACCCTGCTCTGCAGTTTACAAAGTGCTTTGGTGTGCGTTATCCCATCGAAACTGCGCACCGCTGCAGTGGGCTGGGTAGACGGGGATAGATAAAACAGCTGTTTTGATCTCCGCAGAGGAGTGCTTTGCCAGTTCTGGGTCCCCTGCCATGGCCTGGACCCCTGTGTGTGGCCCGTGGCTCCTTCCACAACAGACTGCACATGCCTGTGGCAGGGAAGGGGACAATAGAGAGAACAGTGGGCAGGCTTCTACCCCAGGGGACCACAGAGGTAAGGGCACCAGAAGGCCCAAAGGGACCACCCCATAGCCCTAAGCCCAGCAGGGTGCAGCCTTCGATTCACGAGGAAATCTAAGCCCATAGGACTTTTCACTTCGCCCTCTGTTTTCCTTGATGCCAATGCATAGCTGCTAGTGTCACCCGTCCCTGTCCCTAAATCACTGCCATTGCTACTCACTGCTGTCTGACAAGAGTCAGATTGAATGCTTCCTTGTCAAGGTGGCTCTTCTGAGCCCGAGGGGATGTCTTTTGCCTTTTAGATTTTTCCCGGGATATGATAACAAGGTATGAAGAATGACGACCTTCCACCAAAGCTAAAGCAGTAATGGGGGGAGGGGCTTCTTTGAGGCGTGCATCACGTGCTTTCCGATTGTTACATATCTCTCCCACTTAGCCTCGGAGCTTCCCAAAAGCAAGGGCTGTAGGGGTTCTCTCTTCTTGTCCCTCCCTCACATCACTGTGCTCAGTGTCTGTCACTTACTAAACGTTAGGAGACGTTTGTCTCATGAATTCCACAGAGGGGAATGCAGTTTCACAAACAACGGCACTGCTGCCACCCCATCTCTGCCGTGTGCACACCGTGATGACAATACTGTCAGTAATTTCAGGGCTGAGACAGAGACATCTGTGCCTTGCAAAGTGGGGTGGGGGGATGTTCAAATACATGATAGGGCCTCTATTCCCATCAGACCCCGGGGGCAGGACTCAAAGTGGTGTGTGTGTGTGTGTGTGTATGATTGTGTATTTGTGGGGTGCGGGAGGCACTATTAATTGAGGCTAGCATTTGCAAGGCTAAGCTGGAACAAGGTCACGTAAAAACACGTCACACGGGGAAAATACCCTAACCTGAGCAGATGGCAATACAAATCTCTGCAGAGAAGGGATCAGATGAGGTTTGTTCCCCCCTTTTATTTTCTGAATCACCAGCCATTATCTGCTCCAAGTTGAATATTCAGTTCCACAGAGTGGTCCTGATGGAAGCCTGCACCACACTGATGCTTCAAATATCAAGCTAAGCAAGGCTCAATGCGCAAAATTAATGTTTGCCAAACAGCACCAGGGCTCCAGGAGGGTTCCTCTAATAAGGTCAGAGGCCAGAGTGTCGCTGACAGCCTCTCCCCACCCCCCTCGCTGCTCCATTGTCTGTCACTGGAGGTGAATGCATGACTTTTATTGTGGTGGCAAGCAATCCCAGGGCTGATGTGCTGGCCAGCTGCTGCCGGGACTACAGCGATCCTACCTCTCCGTCTCTGGCCCCCAGCAGCTGCTCTGCCTTCCCTCCCTTATCCTAGCTCCCTGCCTGCTAGTGGCTACTCTACAGGGAAAGGACATAGAGGTAGGGACTTGCCAGGGGCAGGTCACTAGGTTTTAGCAGGATGCGCACCGATCCAGCCACAGCCCAGCTATACTGACTGGAATAAATACATCAGCCCTGGGAGAGGGGAGGCCTGCACTGTAGCTAGGGGTGAGTGGTAGCTTTTTTTTCCTTGCTTTTTATTCCATGTCTGTGGCATTTGGATGTTTGAAGGATTGTGAGCCTGGACCAGAAGGGTGTGCCTCGCACCAGGTTTATTGATTTGAATACATGGCCAGAGCCTCACTCCCAGGCCAAGAACATGAATCATGATGAGATGTGCCTTCGAGGAGTTCCCTGTGTAGATGGGGAGCCAGATGGGGGCCAAAATAATGAGGGGAGTGGCGAAGAAACAGTCTGCCCCACAGTTCTGAAGTAGAACTTGGGGGTTCCAGTGGCCAAGGGTCACTTTCAGATCTCTTCCCAGCAGGGTACTCGAGAGTCTGACCTAAACGTCCCCCCGACATAACCACTGTGGGGGAGGCATTGCTAGGCCTCTTAGACGGAGGATATGAAACCCAGAGAGTTCCCTGCTGCAAGGCCATCACGCACTTGCAGCAGATCCTGGATTGCAGCTCTGGAATGTGGGTCTGTGAGGCCGCTACTCTGGGTTTCGGAAGGTCCTGCAGCATGGGCCTGCCAGCAGCTTAGGGAGCCTGTGGAGAGGAGGCCAAATTTTGGGTTTCTCTTTTGGGGAACTCTTTCCTTCCCCAGGCAAAGTGTCAGGGAGAGCCCAGCCTGAAGTGAACTCGAGGTCTGAATCCTGCAGAGCTGAGTGAGGACTCCAGGGGCTGTTTCGCTCGATGCTTTTGAAAACTTCTCTGTCGTCAGAGCTGACCTCCCTCCTGCCTTTTCTGCCTCTCCTGAACACCCCCCCTCCTCTGGTAACCCCTCCCACAGCCAATAGCACCACTGGGCCTTTCTCACATCTGCAGTTCGCCCTGCCCAGTGCACGGGGGTAGGGGTGATGGCCGCCTGTTGCTCAGTGTAAGGTTTCGCTGTTTTGGGGCCCAGAGGAGGCCGGCCCAGCAAGCCAAGCATATGGACTCCATTAAGGTTTTCCCTACATTTTCTCTTTCTCTCTGGTTCCACTGAAGCCTGAAACCACAGACACCTGTGAAAACAAACCCTGCCTGGCTGCTCGCTCACCAGTGCTCTCTCTCTGCCTCTCTCTCTCATCTCCTCCAGACCCACTGTGATGCTTCCTGACTGATGACGTCATAATAGTGCCCAGAAGCCAGAGCGCTGCATTTCCAGCTGAACACACCTGAGTTGTCCCCATCACCATGGAGACCCGAAAAGATGAAGCTGCTCAGGCCAAGGGAGCAGCAGCGTCTGTGGATACCCAGGACCAAGGGGCAGAGAAAGGAGCCCAGAGCAAGGCCGCTGAGACGACAGAAGGGCCAGCATCAGAGCCACCCTCGTCTGGCCCAGGTAGGCTGAAGAAAACTGCCATGAAACTCTTTGGTGGCAAGAAGGGCATCTGTACCCTGCCTAGTTTCTTTGGAGGGGGACGGAGCAAAGGTTCTGGGAAAGGCAGCTCCAAGAAGGGGCTTAGCAAGAGCAAGACCCACGATGGCCTGAGCGAAGCGGCCCGTAGCCCTGAAGACATTGTCAGTGAAGGACCCGGCCTCTCTTTACCTTTGCCCGAGTCGCCCTGCCAGCTTCCCAGTTCCCAGAGCGCCCACGGGGCTTTGGAGACAGGCTCCAAGCACAAGACGTCTGTGGTTGCAGCCGTAGACAAAGCTGGGGCCGAGAAGGTTTCCTCTGTGCCCAAGCCAAAGAAAGGCCTGAAAGGTTTTTTCAGCAGTATTCGCCGTCACCGGAAGAATAAGATTTCTGGTGCTGAGCAAAGGGAGCCAGGGCCCAAGGGGCCTGAGGAGGCCAGAGCCAGGCCTCATGAGCACGTGAGCTCTGTCCTCCCATCCCACGCTGAGGAAACCCTTCCAGACCCGAGAAAGGAAAATGCCAAACACCAAGATGCCCCTGGGCCAAATGTTTCTTCCGCCTCAGAGCCTTCTGGAGCAGCCGCTGAGAAGGCAGCCTGTCAAGATCCAGAAAAACCCGTGGGCGGCTGTGCCTCAGCACTCCTGCAGCCCAGTCCTGCCCCCGAAGCCGGTGGCCCAGAAGAGCCCCAGAGCCCAGAAACAGGGGAGAAGGTGGTGGCAGGAGAGGCAAATCCACCCAATGGCCCTGTGGGGGACCAACTGAGCCTCCTGTTTGGAGATGTCACCTCCCTGAAAAGTTTTGACTCACTGACAGGATGTGGTGACATCATAGCAGAGCAGGACATGGACAGTATGACAGACAGCATGGCCTCTGGAGGCCAGAGGGCCAACCGAGATGGGACCAAGCGAAGTTCCTGCATGGTCACCTACCAAGGAGGTGGGGAGGAGATGGCCTTGCCAGACGATGATGATGAGGAAGAGGAAGAAGAAGAGGACGAGGAGGTAGAATTAGAGGAGGAAGAAGAGGAAGCCAAGGTGGAAGAAGATGAGGACTTAGAATATCTGTGGGCAAGTGGTCAGATGTACCCAAGACCCAATGTGAACATGGGCTACCAGGCCACCACTTCGCCAGGCCACCAGGGCTATGTGCTCTTTGACCCAGTCCGGTCTTACCCTGGCCTGGCTCCTGGAGACCTTTTGACTCCTCAGAGTGACCAGCAGGAGTCTGCCCCCAACAGCGATGAGGGCTATTATGACTCAACCACACCTGGATTTGAGGATGATTCCGGGGAGGCCCTGGGGCTTGTCCGCAGGGATTGCCTGCCCCGAGACAGCTACAGTGGCGACGCCCTCTATGAATTCTATGAGCCAGATGACAGTCTTGAGGAGTCCCCACCGGGGGATGACTGCCTTTATGACCTCCACGGTCGCAGCTCTGAGATATTCGACCCTTTCTTGAACCTTCAGCCCTTTTCTTCCTCTCGGCCACCTGGGGCCATGGAGACAGAAGAAGAACGCCTGGTGACCATCCAGAAGCAGTTGTTGTATTGGGAACTTCGGCGGGAGCAGCTGGAGGCCCGGGAGGCCCGGGAGGCACGTGCCCGAGAGGCTCACACCAGGGAGGCCTATGCAAAAGAAGCTCACGCCAGGGAAGCTCACGCCCGAGAGGCTCACCCCCAGGAAGCTCACATCAGAGAGGCCCGAGGCCGAGAGGCCTATGCCAGGGAGGCTTGTGCCCGCGAGGCCTGTGCCAGGGAGGTCTGCACCCGAGAGGCCTGTGCCAGGGAGGCCCAGGCCAGAGAGGCTCGTGCTCGAGAGGCTCACATCCGAGAGGCCCAGGCGTGGCCGGAGAAGCCCATCATAGAGTATCAGAGGAGACCCTTAGGCCCATCGGTGATGGGCCTGGTGACAGGAAAATCAGGGAGCTCTCAGACTTCACACCGAGGAACCACGTCAGCTTTCCCTGCCACAGCGGGCAGTGAGCCAGACTGGAGGGACTTCCGTCCTCTGGAGAAGCGTTTTGAGGGAACCTGCTCCAAGAAAGATCAAAGCACCTGCTTGATGCAGCTCTTCCAGAGCGATGCTATGTTTGAGCCAGACATGCAAGAAGCCAATTTTGGAGGGTCTCCCAGGAGGGCCTACCCTACTTACTCACCCCCTGAAGAGCCGGAGGAAGAGGAGGTTGAGAAGGAAGGCAATGCCACCGTGAGCTTCTCGCAAGCCCTTGTGGAGTTCACCAGCAATGGCAACCTCTTCTCCAGCATGTCCTGTAGCTCCGACTCCGACTCCTCCTTCACTCAAAACCTCCCTGAGCTGCCCCCCATGGTGACCTTCGACATTGCTGATGTGGAACGGGATGGGGAAGGCAAATGTGAAGAGAATCCGGAATTCCACAATGATGAGGACCTCGCGGCCTCCTTGGAAGCTTTTGAGCTAGGCTACTACCAGAAACACGCCTTGAACAACTACCGCAGCCGATTCTACCAAGGCCTGCCCTGGGGGGTGAGCAGTCTTCCTCGATACTTGGGACTGCCTGGCATGCACCCACGGCCTCCACCTGCCGCCATGGCCCTCAACAGGAGGAGCCGCTCCCTTGACACGGCAGAGACCCTGGACCTGGAGATGTCCGATTCCCACCTGGCCCCAGGCTACATGGAGTCTGATGAGCTTCAGCCTCAGCAGGAAGATTCGGATGAAGAAGAAGAGGAAGAATGGGGCCGAGACAGTCCCTTGTCCCTCTATACTGAACCTCCAGGGGCCTATGACTGGCCTGCCTGGGCTCCCTGTCCTTTCCCAGTGGGGACAGGCCCTGCCTGGATAAATAGCAGCCAGCCGGATGGGCCTTCTAGCCAGTCTCCCTACGGGCAGGCAGCCTGCTGCGTACCTCCTGCAGCTATGTCAGTATTGCTGTCAGGACCAGGGCCAGAGCCAAGGGCACCTGGGGAATCCGGGCCTCAGCTAGTTCGGCCTTCGCACCTACCCCTTCCCATAGGCCCTTGTTATAACCTTCAGCCTCAGGCCTCCCAGAGTGCGAGGGCCAGGCCTCGAGATGTGCTGCTGCCTGCCGATGAGCCCAGTTGCTCCTCCAGTTCTGGAGGCTTCAGCCCCAGTCCTCTTCCCCAGGCCAAGCCTGTGGGCATCACCCACGGCATCCCTCAGCTGCCCAGGGTCCGGCCTGAGCTCCCACAGCCTCAGCCCATTCACTACGGGGCTTCCAGCCTCGACCTGGCGAAGGAGAGGGCTGGGCAAGGTGCCTGTCTCCCCAGCAGCTACTCCTCCACTGCCGTGAAAGGGAATCTAGCTGAGTAGTCGTCACCAATGCTGGAGCCGGGGGCATGGGGCCTGAGCATGTGAATGGGGATCCGGGGTTGGGCAGAGGGATTGGGGGGTGGGGGTTGCTGTTTCACTTGAAAATCTTTTGGGCCAAGGAAAGCTCGTATGAGTTTTCGCCTTTGCTTTCCCACTTCCGTCTTTTGCCATCTGTGGCCACGTTCAGCTCAAGTACATCTGCCCCGGGAGGCTGCTGCTGCTGCTGCTGCTGCTGCTGCTGCTGTGCTCCAGTTTTTGCTTTCGGGGTTTCTTCTTGTGACCCGTGCAGGGTTCGGGATGCTGTAATTTTGTGCCTATTCCAGTTGCCAAGTTAGTGAATATATAGAGAGCATGCATCCTTGACACAGGCTGAACCCTTAGCACCCCCTGCCACCTCACCACCCAGTGAATGATGAACCCCCAATGAACAGCCAGGTCTGCACTGCCTCCCCCGTGGGGGCAGGGGGCCTGCTTGCTGTTAGCAATGTGAAATTATGGTACAATGCTCCCCACCCCCACTCCATTCCGTCTTGGCATAGCTGCCACCATTACATCAGATGACTATAATCTATTTGTCCCAGCTAGCTGTCCTTAGAGAGGATCAAGTAGCATGTATCTCACCGCCTACTGCTGTGGACTTTGGCATCGTAACCAGATGGGGGCCTTTTAACCTGGCCCGCCATAGCTTGGGTTGAAGACAAAAATGCTAATCCCCTTAATGGAGTGATCAAATTAATCCAGTTGCAGTTGCAAACGGAAGACAAAATAGGCTTCTCTCACAGACATTGCCATAAGTCTTGAGCTCTGGAATGATAGGATTTTCGTTTCTCCCTTTTCCTCTCTTAAGCTTGTGACTTCCGGAGTTACAGGTGCTTTTGAATGTCGGTTCTTTTTTTTTTCTTCCTCCAAAGGAAATGGACATAATCTCATCACAAAGAATACATTCTTTTCATTGAGATACAAGAAGAGAAGCAGCCTAAATTAGGCTTGGCTCTAGAGGTTGGGGTTTTTGCAGGTTCCCAGGGGGAAGGATGGGAAACGGAGGGCCGTTTGTCTGAGGCAACAGGAGAGAAGATTTCAGAGTTTGCCGAGCCTGAGGCAACCCAGCTTCTGAGAGGGGAAAAGAGCTTCCCCCCCTTAAAAGTAATTCCTTATACCTTGTGCACCCCTTCGTTTGGATGCTGTCAAGAAGCTCCAGGCCAGCACTCCCAAGAGACAGTATACCAAAGGCACCTAGGCTGCTGTTCAGGACTCTAAAGAACTTCCATCATTTTGCAATTAGCTGAGCCCTTAGCATCATCAAAAGACCAGGCTTCTTGAGAGGGAAGACTGTGACCTGCCCTCACACTGCCAAGCTTCAGGATGCCGATTCACATGGCAGTTGTAGCCTTTATGGAATGAACGGCACCCTCCTTTGTCCTGTATCCATCCGCACAGTTCTAACGGTAAACTAGCTTGGAAATACTGGTGGGGAGAATTTGCTGTCGGGAAGACATTGCACCAGGCTAATCTTCCCCCCAGGCTTGGCCTCTCATTAATCAGCAATACGAGAGGGTTTCTTTTAAATTTCTTGATTGGAAATAGCCAATGGGATATTTTTTACCAGGATGTGTTGACCCAGACAAATGATGACTGTTGCCCACCCGCCCCCCACAGCCGCTCCTGTCCTTGGCCCCCCCCCCCCACCCATCTTCTTGCCTGTTAAGAGGCCAACAGGGCTCCTGCCATTCCTGAGATACTGCGGATTGGCTTGGGAATGGATGCCGTTGGCCTCCCAAGTTCACAGAGGTGACTTTGTGGGCAAAGTGCCCCTTGACTGGGGATATGTTTGTACTGGGGTTTGTCACCCTTTCTCAGATTGGGGCTGGCCCAGGGCCCTTCCCCCGCAACATCAGGCTCAGCTGGCAGAAGCTGTGACCCTGGGAACATCACATCAATTTGCATGGCACCGACACCACCACTCAAGGGACTCAGACCAGCTCCCCAGGCTGACATTGTCTGTATCATGAAGAGATGCGTTAGCCCTGGCGCTGGAGAATGAAATAGGGTGAGGAAGGCCCTCCTCACACCAAGCACAGCATTCCAGGAGGGAAGTGCCCTAATGCCAACCTTCTGTCCTCTCACCAAAGTTGCCCCGGGAGGGTGGGGCTGACCATTGGCCTGGCTGTTTGGCAGGAAGTAAACACTCACCAAATGCCTTTACCACGGGAAAACCCACTACTTGCCTCCTCTGTCTCTGCTTGTCCTTTAGGGCAGCTCAAGCTCCTGTCTGGATGTGGACTGTGGCAGCCACAGCAGGTAATAGAGCCATCACCAGCCTCCAGAGCTCACTGGGCCACTGGCCTATCTGGGAAGAGAAAAAAAGTAGGTGGTCAGCCTTTGGCCAAGGGCTGAGAGCTGCCCTCCATGACAGGAGGGCAGCAGGAGGCGCTGCCTCTGAAGGGAGAAGTCATAGCCCTGACGGAGTTTGCTGGCCTCCGGGAAGGCTGCGCACCACAGCGTAGGGCCTAGGACCGATGAGCAGCGTATGGTTTGGACGACGCTGCTGCCTGCAAGTCCTTTCACTGTCCCTGGCCAGCCCAGGGACAGGATCCTCACCACCACAAGCGGGGCAGTCAGGGTGCATGGCTGCAGAAGGAGACTCCTTTAGAGTCTCTCTCGGGATCCAAGCAGCTGCTGGCCGAATCCCAGCTACAGCCTAGAAGAGGAAGAAAGACCTGTCTAGGGACATGTGGTGATACAGGGTCACGCTGGAACAGCCAGCCAAGTTCTGGGCCTCTTCCCAAACGTGGACCAGTGCTTGCATGGCTGATGCCAAGTATGCCCTGGAGAAAGGTGTTGACGTCAAGTCCATACCTCCGAGGCTGTGACCAGGTGAACACTATGTCTGCATTGCAAGGTCTTGGGATACTGCCTTTGGACGTGACTTCAAGGCAAGATGTGACTTGAGACGAGGTGGCTGCCCTCATCTCTCTACCCAGCAGGCTTATCTAGTGCCAGACAGCTCTGATCCCAAGAATTTCCAAATGAGACTGGTCCTTGGGGGCCCAGTGACTGGATAGAACAGGCCACCTGGGAGACCTCTCTCCCAGGGTTGCCAGTTTCTCGGTGCTTTAGCGCCTCCGAGGAAGCCCCACCTTGGGGCCCAGATAGGGCCTGCTCTGCCCATTTGGACTCAGCCTGGGCACGAGTTCATGAGCCCCCTGGGCCAAAGGCCTCAGTCGACACTAGACTCCCTCCTCTGTGCTGTACCAAGGAGGGAAGTAGCTTCTCAAACCCAGGGTGCATTTCCCTTATCCTGCTGCCAGTGACTTTCCCACCCTTGCCAGGGCCACCATCCTACCTGCCCTTGGCCCCCGGGCCCAATTGCTAGAGGGAGGCATGGGGGGTTAGCAGGGAGACTTCAAGTTTACCCATGTGTATGTTGCATCCAAGTTGTTTTTAATATATATATATATATATATATCAAAAGTCAATTATCTATTTTTGTATTGTTTGCATTTTATATTCATGGAAAACAATGTTTATCAATTGTTCTTTTCTGATATATTTTATTTTTAAGCGGTGCTGTTTACAGTTTTAAACAAAACAAAGATGACACAAAAATTGCTGCTGCTTGTGCAGAGGGCTGGCATCTCAGCTGCCCAGGGCCCTCACTCTTGCCCCTTTCCCCAGCCCTGATGTGTCGCCCTGTCCATCCCCCGCTCCATGCTAGGGACAGCAGAAGGTGCCCAGGTACTTAGACAAATGCCAGGTGACTCAGGCTTGTGGAACCTGGTAGACAGCGTGTTGTGTTATGGCTTTATTTTGTTTCTTCTGGACCCTTCCCTGTTTGTAGACCTCTGGAAGTTTCTCTCTCTCTCTCCCTCTCTCTCTCCTTTATGTTCTGTGCTTTTGTTTTGAAACCAGAGTGCCCATATTGTGCTACTTGTTGTGTCAAGTTTCTCCAAAGGAACATTGTGGGGACAGGGACGTTCTCCACCCATCGAGGACGGCAGAGGGTTTCAACCATGCCCTGTCTCCCCACGAAGTTGGGGGAGACAGATGGCAGGGATGCTTGAACCATCAGGAATGAGCCATCTTACCGAGGAAACCCTTGCATGGGACTTAACCAGAAGCTCAGTTGACTGGGACATTCACCCAGAAGAGATACTGGGGACCTCCTTGCCCCCTCATGCTGCTTTGGGGGAATCTCTCCCCCCTACTACCATTCCCACTCCCCGGCCCTGCTCCAGCTCACACATGGATGGTACTTTGGGAAATGGTGACTGTTGGGGCCATGGCTTACCGGCCTGATCCCCACGCTTTCATCCTGTAGTCACTCCAAAGAAGAAAATCCACATGGCGTGTATATGTATAAGGGTTGGGCTTACCGAGAGGCAGGACTTTAATTATTATTCCTGTTTACTATTGGTGCTTATTTTCCCTGCTGTATACGGGGTTCTGGGGTGGGAGGGAAGAAACCAGGAATGTATATTTAGGTCCTATTCAATAAAATGGCTGGGGGACAGAGGGAAGAAATTAGGAACTGCAATACATCCCAACCCCAGGTATAAAAAGTTCTTTCTCTCCCAGTACAGAGAGGGGAGCATGGCCCCTGGATGCACCCTCACTTCCCCTTCTCTGTTCCTGAGACGTCACGGAGTCGCCCGGATCGTGACCTCTCTGATCCCAATTCTCACTGACATCTGGATATCTTGATGCACTTCCTGTTTGTAACAACCTATGTTTCTTTTGCTGAATGCTAATAAACCGGGTTCAAGAGGGACCCCCAGTCACTAAAGTGCATTCTTGTGGTTTGTTCTATGGCAGCGTGCCTGTGAGCCAGAGTTTCTGGGTTTGCCCTTAAAGGGAAATGGAGACGGCAAGGAGGTGGACCCCATCCTGATGGCTCCATCAAAAGGATGTGTCTAATGGTGGGACTCTCGGGCCAAGCTGCAGGAATGGCATCCTCCTCCCAGGCCTGTGGGCAGAGATGACATGCTGTCCAGGCAGCTGCCAGCATCACCCATTCAGCCATGGGGCTGAGTGGGGAGCATATGGCTTCGCCCCTTATTGTGCATTTCATCTGCTAGGCACTGGAGGTGTACCGCAGTAATGACCCAGTCACCTTGGGGGCATGTCCTGATTTCCCGGCTAATCCTAGCCTAGGCGGCAATCACTTCCCCTTCCTGTTGTCCACACGAAGTCCTCCCTGTGCCACCAACAAGGAAAAGGTGATGGTGCAGAGGGGAGAGGAGAGGGAATTTCAGGGGAGAATTGGAAGGGTTTACAGGAACAAATTTAAAGGACACATGGACAAAAACTAGGGGGAGGGTGGTAATGGGAGGGAAGTGGGGAGGGATGGTGAGTGGGCCGGGATGGGAGTAAAAGGCAGAAAACTGTACTTGAACAATGATTTTAAAAAAAGGTGATGGTGCTAATGGCTTTGGTTTCTCTAATGCAGACTCTTAACCTCAGCCCCTGATGAGCAAGGGGGTCTGACACCAGATAGGGGGCTTCCTTGAGTTCTATCCAATTGTCATGTCCAAGCTGGGAGACCTGAAAGAACAGCTGCTTGAAAGCGCGGTCTCCCCACAAAATGACAGTGCCACTGCAGACAAAACGGGAGGGCTGCCTGGACCCCCTTCCCAGACTAGCAAAGGATCTCTGTGGCCCCCAGGACCTCCTGAGTCAAGCAAAGCCAGAATAAAGTAAATGAGCAAGAGAGGAAAGAGGGAATCTCTCGGAGGGGTGTTGATACTGTACAGGAAGTGAATTCTCTGCCCCAGGCTGCGACTCATGGGAAGAAGAGGGTCAGGTTTGCTCCAGGAGGTTTGGGAGCAACACCATTTGGGAGGTCTTACTACATCCATTGGAAATTCACAGGGGTTGTGGAGTCTGGGAGGTGTGAGTTAATGTCCTAATTGTTGCCCCTCATTAATCAGTTGGGACTTGGACAAATCCATTCTTCTTCTTAGTCTCAGTTTCTCCATCCATAATATATGGGTGGCATTCATTAGACCCGTTTACATAAGCTAGTAGGGAAATGGGCTTCCTCGGACCCAGGGAACTTTTCCAGCTACTTCAGTCCAGCACTCCCCACTCTCATTCAAACTCCCTTGGCCTGGGGTGGAGCTCTTTCCTACAGTGCCTCACACGACTGGGCCAGGTGGCAAGGTGAGGGGTAAGAGCCCCTCCTGTGGTGCTGTGACTGATGGCTACCCTTGCTGGGGTCGCCTGGGGAGTCCTCTGCCTCTTGGAAGGGGGCCTTGGTGGAGGGAAGCTCTTCAGACCTTGCCCCATCTGAGAGACAACAGTCACCAGCGGGCCCCACTGCTGGTTCACCTGGGGCTGGGGTTGCGCCCAGCAAGTGGGCTGCCTTGGCTCCCGGTGTCTGTTAGAGCAGATGGAAAGCCGCCAGATAAGAGACCTCTGTGCAAGCCTTTTGGGAGGTGCAGTGGGCAAGCTGCTGGCTCCCATTGCCCACATCCTGACTGGGCCCAGGACCCTACTGACTGCGTTCTCTTCTCCCTGAAGAATTCCTGATAGGGGACTCAAGAGTTGGAAAATTTTACTTTAAGGTAAAAAGTTATAAGCCTAGCAAGTCATGTCTGTTAAAGCTTTTGTTTCAGAGACTACAGATAGATAAGGCCCATCCTGGCTCCTGGGAAAACAGCCGA